GGGAACCAGAGTTTTCATTGTGGGAGAAGGGAGATACAGGTATGGAAAGGGGGAGGCTAGAAAGAACCCTATGATTTTGGACTTTGAATTGGAGGAATCAGTATGAATTCATGATTTAAAAATGTACCTGCGTAAAGGTTATGCTGTTCGCGGTAAGGTTCTCTCAATTTTTTGATCGGTTTGTACATTTTCAACCTAAAACGCTGGAGTATAAAAATAAGTGCAAGTTTCCTTCCTTCCGACTGTGGAGGTTCACGTGGACACAGAGAACCAGCCCCCGGAGAAGGCGCCTTTTCCGTGGCTCTCGGTGCGTTCGGCAAGTTCCTCTTTGACCGCCGAGTAGACAACAGAGGCAGCAGGAGTCACCTAACCCCGGCAGCACAAACGGAAGATCCCCAAAAGGAATCGCGCCGGGCCCTGGCCCTCCACGGCCAGAACTTGGGAGGCCAGGGGTGTGGCCTGGGCTTGGCTGGTGCCGGCAGCGACCAATGGGAGCTGAGGAGGCGGGCAGGGCCGCGCGCATGCGCCTAGGCCCGCCCGGCACTCCACTGCCTTATTTCCACCTCCCGCGCGGCCTCCAGCTCTGGCCGCCCGCGATCCGGGTTGGAGGAGCTGGGGCGCCCCGCCGTAGCAGCCGCCGGGTAAGTGCCTGGCCGGCGCCTCCTTTCGTCCGTCCGGCCCCCGTTCCCCCGCGGCGCCCGGAACCCGGGGCTGGGATGTCGTTGGGGCCGCGGTCTCCGGAGAACCCGGACGCTGCCGGGCGTGCTCGGGGCTGCCTTGCTCTCCGGTTCGCGTGCGGGGCCGGGCGGGCTCGGTGGGGTGCGAGGTTCCGGGGACCCGCCTGCGGACTCGACTGGGGACTGGGTCCGGCTCCTCGGGCTCCTGCCGCCTCGGGTCGGGCGGATCCCGCAGGGCCCTGATCGCTGTTGTTGGTGTTGGGTGGTCCCTGTTCCAACATCACTAAGATCCAGCGTGAAGCTCGTTCTGCCATCTCGGCGTTTGCACCCTTGCTCCGCGGTTTGCTTCTCCTGCCAGTGCATCCCTCCCACTCGTAGCTTCATTCAGACGGTGCAGCCTGAGCCCCGGCAGCCTCGTACTCTGGGAAGGGGCACGCTACACTGGAACATTTGCAGGGACGGGGTGAATGAATTTGCTTGCAAAGTTAATGTAGCTCTGGGTTTTAAGGTCTTTCTAGGTGTAATTTCATGTAAAGCAGTTGCGATGATCAGCATTATTGTTCCTGCGCAAGAATGGCAAAACAATGTCGGAACTGCTGCGCGGATCCTACATTCGTCCTACTTGTGTAATGAGAAAGTTGAAAGGCAGGCATTTCGGTTTTGGCTTTGCCACTGCCTTGGGCTCAGTTAATTCATGTGAAATGAGAAAATGATTTCTAAGGTTCCTTTTAAACCCCACGTTTTGTAAGTCTGCGATGAGCTTATTTTTCGTTCTGCGTCTTTAAAAAGAATAGGAAATAGGAAAAGTTCACGAAAGGGCAATCCAACAAGAAACGAAAATTTACGAGAGCACAGACGTTTAGGGACTGTGATTACTGTTTAAGATAGCAGACTGAAAAGGGAACAGCAAGTAAAATTGAAAGGACTTACCAAGAATTAATTATATAAGAGAAACTTGGAAAGCTTTCAGAGGTACTGGCAGCAAGTATTATACTATATTTAATTACCTCTCTTTACAGCTGTACAAATGAGGTCAGGAGAAAATAAATACTAAGTAACCATGTAAGAAAATGTAGTGGAGAGGATGTGTAACGTAGCATGCATGCATCTTAGGTGTAGGGAGAATCCTTAATTTGTATAGACATTTCCATTTGTATTTCCCCTGCAAAAAAACCCTACAGTTTTTCTGAATGTGTAGAATTCCCTACCCTCCCATCCGCCAATATTTTTTAACAGCTGTTGGAAAATAGCGTTTGGCTGCAAAGAAGTACATAGAGGAAAAGATCATGGGATCCGTCAGAGATAACGTAATTTGAATATTCTGTAGCTGTGACCAGGGAAAGTCGCTTTTCTTTGCTGAGGCGGTGTTTCCTCAGTTGTGGAATGTAGACAATGATGCCTATTTCATAGGGGTTTGAGGATTAAATAAAATCATTTGTGTGGAAAATGTATAGCAATGCCTGACATCAGTTATTCAATAATGACAACTAATGTTGTTAGTATTGTGTTTATAATGCTGCAAAGAGAAGCGATCCCTGGGTATTAGTGTGGCTTAGAGAGTGTGGCTGAAAGAGGAGTGCAAAGTAGGAAGTGATCTACAACCCTTGCCTGACACTGGAATTTCTGTGAAGTTGTAATCCCTTCCCTGAGATGCTGCTGAGACACTGTTAACTGCTAATAAGGACACATTAATCTTTGACTGTCTTGGCATGTCAGTCTTGGCACTTCAGTAGATAGAGTTGGAATTTTTCAAAAGAACTGTACTTGGAAATTAAGAAATGTGTGTAAAGAGACCCCCTCCAAAGAGAACACAAAAACAAAGTAATAGGTTAGTTTACGGAACAGAGATTTCAGCCCAAGATATCTGAAGCCCTGTTACAGCTTGCTGTGGCCAATACAGCTTGGACATACACTCACCTATTCCAGTCTTAACCAGAAGCGTTTTGAATGTTTGTCCAACTACTGAGGTTGTCTGGTTCTTATTTAAGCCAAATTATTTATTCTTTTACTCAATGAACATTAATTTGGGAAGGCCAAGTAGTCTTAACTGCTTAGGGATCTAGTCCTAGCCTTTGAAAAGGAAAAGAGAATCCCTCTAACTAGCTAACTTTCAAAAATTGTAATTGAGAGGAGCACACATGTGCACAGAGGGAAGTAAAAGTCAGTGGAAATCAAGCAGGGGGGAGGGCGAGGGAGGGGATGGGCAAAAACCTACCTAACGGGTACAATAAACACTATCTGGGTGATGGGCACACTTATGGCCTTGATTCAAGCATTGCAAAAGTGATCCATGTAACCAAAAACATTTATACCCCAGTAATATTTTGAAATAAAAAAAAATTTGTAATTGAATAGAAGTCCTTTCTTATTAAAGTTTAACCAGGGATGCTGATGGAGTGGATACTCATTTGTGGAAGGTGAGTTTTATTTTGGCAGAAACCTCTGAATAGGAATTTATGGGTATGTGGTTCATCCCACGTGATTCAAAACTATGAAGAGGCAATTCCACAACAAGCCTCTAAGTTTTAACCTAATCAACTAAAAACTTAATATCAAAATTGATAGAGGAAAAAGTAGCGAAATCCTGTTTAAACTAGCAAACAAATATAAGTAGTGGCAGAAAATTAGATAGTTAATTAGTGAGATAGCATGAGGTCATATAGCAGTGTAGTTAAAACTTTTTAAATTAAAGATTAATTATAATCATATTTTTCTTAAATTTTTGCTAACGTTTTGGAAGATGTCTTGTGTATAGAGTGTTTATCTCCAAATACACACATACATGTATATTCATTGTAGAAAAAAA